TACCATGCCTTTTCACAGCAACATGGAAAGACAAGAATCATTCTGGTGAACACTTATTTTTTTCTCTACCTGAAATCTCTTCTGCTTGACTTATACAGTTAACCCTTAAACAACATGGGCTTGAACTGCACTTTTGCATGGGCCCACATATACACAGATTTTTCCAATAAATACAAACAGTATTGTAAATGTATTTTCTCTTCCTTGTGATTTTTCTTAATTACATTTTCTTTTCTCTAGCTTATTTCACTGTAAGAATACAGTATATAATACATATAACATACAAACTATGTGTTAACTGTTAATGTTATCGGTAAGTTTTCACATCAACAATAGGCTATCAGTAGTTAAGATTTTGTGAAGTAAAAAGTTATATGCAGATTTTCAACTGTAAAGGGGTGGGGGTGAAGAGTCTTGGCACCCCTAACCCTGACGTTGTTCAAGGGTCAACTGTATACATTTGGAATAGGTTTAAAATTATTCCAATGGAGGCCTGAAGTGGGAAAACGTATACAGAAGTAGAAGCAGAAAGCACAAATCATGGTTTTTAATAAGTCACAATGGGAAGGAATAATCCTGTCAACTTCCTATCAAATTTTCATGGTATATCCGTGACCACTCGGAGGACAATAATGACTTCGAATTCCACCAGACAATAGGTTCTAAATACTAGACCTAAAATCCGAAGGCCCGGGGTTTGGTGTCATTATCACTGATTACTCATGAATCAGCAGCCCACTGCCTAACCCTGCTACCCTTAAGGACGTAGACTCTGAAGTGGAGTCAGAAGTCACAACACAGAAAACCAAAATACCCACATGAACACAGCGGCACACATCCCTTGACTTGTTTGTTCTATATACCCAAGCCAGCTGGTAGAAAAGAAACCTGTGTGCGTAGCATCCCTTGTTCTGAAAAATTTCTAGGGTCCTCCTTTACCAGCTTCACTGGTCCCTTGAGTGAGCACTGGCAGAGCCCGTTGGAGCAGCTCCCACCATGGTGGCAGAACGGCAATGCAAGGACAAAGCTCCTAGCTCAATGTGGGACGAAAGATACTGGTATCCAAGGGCCTGGACCTTTAATAATACCACTGGACTGGGTTGATGCTGCAGTGGACCCATTTTTCCTCAAAACCTCTCTCTGGCCCTGATTGGTTTGGCTCAGTGGATAGAGCATTGGCCTGAGGACTCAAGGGTCCCGGGTTCGATTCTGGTCAGGGGCATGTACCTTGGTTGCGGGCACATCCTCAGTGGGGGATGTGCAGGAGGCAGCTGATCGATGTTTCTCTCTCATCGATGTTTCTGACTCTGTCCTTCTCCCTTCCTCTCTGTAAAAATCAATTTTTAAAAAATTAAAAAAAAAAAACACCTCTCTCTGGTAGCTCTGGATGGTTTCTCAGTGGTTAGAGCATCAGCCTGCAGCCCCAAGAGTCTCGGTTTGATTTCCAGTCAAGGTCATGTACCTCGGTTGCAGGTTCAATCCCCGGCCCCAGTCAGGGTGCATGTGGAGGCAACCAGTCGTGGTATCTTTCTCATATCAATGTATGTTTCTCTCTGTTGCTCTATCTCTGTCTCCCTATCTCTCTCTCTCTCTCCCCTCCTCCTCCTCCATCTCTTTCACTCTCTCTAAAAATCAATGGAAAAAATCTCCTTGGATGAGAATAAAAAAATAAAATCTCTCTCTGGCAATTCCTATGAAAATGTAGGATTCTGGAGTTGGAAGGAACTTTGCATGGGAATCCACAGGAGTGAAGGCATTTCCAGGACTTGCCCTCCTGCCCCAGGCCTGCTCTGTGTTTACCCTGCAACATTAGGCTGGAGTGCATTTGGAAATGACACTACACCGCTTCTTGGGGAACACAGGTTAGGTCTGGGTCACCTAGGGGACAATTCTAGAAGGGGTTTTCAGACACAATTCCAGATGGGAGAAAAGCACCCAGTGAAAGAGAAATATAGGACACACCTTGGGTATAAGGAGAAAAAATGCTAAATGGTGCGAGGGATAGGTGGTAAGTTGGGGGCAGTGCAGGAAAGAGAAGCAGAAACAACTCTGGGATGGCAGGGACGGGGGACTGATGCCTGTAAGGTCAACGTGATTCCTATCCATTAGGAAGACGGCCCTATGTCACTAGCTTTGTGAACATTTTTTTTTTCTCTGTCACTCCTCATTTTCAAGTGGAGATAATAACATTTGCCAGTGACATGTGTCAAAGGGCACAAGCTCCTAATGTGTGTCCCTGAAAGAGCACCAGATCCAAGTCCCAGTGTGGCCACACACCAGCTCTGTGTCCTAGGAAACACCCTGAAGCACCTCTCAGCTCAGTTTCCATGTGCACAACAAGGGCTTGGCTCCTAGAATTATGTCTGTCCCAGCCAACAGATTTCCGGGTGTGAAGGCCTGTACAGTCCCCTCAAGGGAAGTTTTTTGTATAAATTACAAATGGCTTTGAGAGCCTTGTTAACCCAGCCTTTCTCCCCCAGCTGCTCTCCTTCTCAGCTCAGGCAAGGGAATCACTTAAAATGCATTGCGAGCTACAGGTAATGCGCAGGCAGAGGGGAAGCGGGAGGTGGAAAATGGGCTCTTCAGAGCAAAGCCCCACCAAGACATTAATGCTTCACACAGGACAGAATGCGGGTCAGCGTGTTTATTTCAGAAGGCTCTCTGAGCGTCCTACCTGGCCACTGAGATTCACAAGGCCTTTGTTGTCGCCTTTCATTTCTTATTAACAATGGCACCCAAGCACTGACAGTTCTCTCCAAATACTGGGTGGGGGGAGGTTACTCAACACCACAGGCCCCCTAAGGGCTCGCACCACCTCCCATCCAGGTCCCCCTCCACATCGCCGCCCCAGTATTTTTAGTAGAAACTGTCACATCCAGGGCACGGAACTCCCAAATCCACACAGGCAGGCACCCTGTCCACGCTAGAGGCGTCCTATCTCGTTTCTCTGAAGCTCATTAGAAACCGTACCCTTCGAGCGTTTACTTTACCCAACTGCTCTCCATAATCACTGGACGCATTAAACCAATGAGAGAGGAACAGACCTGGGGCGGAGGGAGAGTGGGGAGAGAAAGGAAGAAAACGGGCTGAATGAGGCTCAGTGACAGGACTCTGAGCGCGTGGCAGGAGCCACCCGCCGCAGACAAAGAGCACCAAGTGGCTGCGAGACAATGCAGGCGGCGGACGCAGCAGCGGGGGCCCGGCGGCCCCTCCCCAAACCCGCACGCACGTCTCCCCAGCTGACCAGTGGCTCTCAGCAGCTGCCGCTGAGGAGAGACCGTCATTTCCTGGCTAAAAGGATTTATACCGTTTTAATTAGGTTTGTTTTTAAAGATAAGAAAGAACACCTCTCCACCGCCACCTTCCCCAGGTACAGCTATATGTTAAACTACCAACAGAACAAACCATGATTTTGGTTTCTTCTGTAAGAGTTTAGAATTTCTTGTGAAATCAAATAAAAATAAGAGGAAAAAAGGAAGTTCAGCAAAGTAGTTCAAATCTGAGCTTGTTCGGAAAAAAACCCCAGAAAGATTGGAAGGAAGCGTCATGGGGTTGGGAGACAGGGACTTCTAACCTGAGTGAAAAGCCTATGCAAAGTGGTGGAATCTTTAACATTTCACCTCTCCACTCGCCCCCAAAAGACCAAGCTCAGTTTAATTCACACGTGCCTCCTAGACATCCTTGACAGAAAAAGATTGGAGGTTTCACATGTGTAAGATCTTTCCTAACCTAGAGAGCCTTGGGGAAAAGGATCAACTCAGCACAGAGACCTAAAACTGAAACATGGAAAAGAAAACACGAACAGGGCCACCAGGACGCTGGAGACGTGATCACCACCAGACCAAGTCTTCTCAGAACCGCCCTCCGTGTACAAACAAAGCACTTACTTCATAAGACCCCAGGTCCCAGGTGGTGGCAGGGATAGGGTTTGCTCTTTTCAATAAGGACAGATTGGAAAAAATGTCTCAATACCATCGGACAACAAGTGAAACATCTTTTCTGAAAAAATACAGACCTAGCTGGGAAAATGGATTTCCTCCTGCCCTCCATTCTCCCAAAAGATTAGAAAGAGAACAGAAAAACGTATGTCCTGGAGATGAATTTTGGGAATGAGCAGCGTCACATTCATGGGAGATATACCACTATTTCAATGGCCATTGACAAAAAAGATTTTAATGTGAACCCGTGAGTGAAATTCTGTAGTAAAATGCCTGTGATGTTTAGTTGTTTTGTACCCTGCAAGCAGGAATGCAAGTCTTGTCACTCACCTGCGGAAACCTTTCTCTCTCAAACCGTCTCCCACAACAGTGTTCAAGAGGATTATGCTGTGACATAATTCAACCTCAAGACATCTTGTGGGACACACAGGTCAATGTTAAAGCGACCGGTGGGTAAACACTCATTATTCAGTCTCTTGACCTTGAATTTCAGTGGTCATTTGCTTACAGACTGTCATTTACGATCATGTGCTATGCGAGGCTTTTCAAATTTCAGTGGACTTCACAGAATAAGTTGACTCTTTCACATCAGAATGAATGAGGTGACCAAAACAAATACTCTTCTGTCTCATCCCTAATTCTAAGGGGACCACATGGAGAAGGTGAGCGGAAGGAGGAGGGACCCGTAGCCCTCACCCCTCTGGTTGGTATTACAGTGACAAGAAGTAAATGAGGGGACATTTCAAGACCCCGGAGCAAAAGGGAGGAACATGTGGTTGGCCTGTCTTCTCATTCAACTGAAGCAGTTCTGTTAAACTCTAAGGGCGAACAATTTCAGGGCCAACTTTGTGCCCAACCATAGCTAGGGGTGAATTGAAATTGACATTCTATAGGGTGTCCCCCCCAAAAAATCTATACACACACTTTGAATAATTATAAAGGCAGTGTTTATGAAAATACATTTCATTTTCAAAATTGAGCTATCAGCTGTTAAATGTGTATACAGTTTTGGGGGACACCCTGTATATTCTTCTATCAAATGAAAACAATAAAACAGGTAGCAATAATAGCAGCAAAACTTGCACAGAGCTTACCCTGTGCCAGGCACTATTGTCCGTGCTTGCATATATGAATTCACTTAATCCTCCCCAAAACCCTTTAAAGTTGGTGCTATACGTAAGTGCATATAAACTTGGTTATACCCAAGAAACAAAAAGCTTCATAATGTTGTTGGTAAAATAGGACAGAGGTGGGTAATCATTTTGAAAAGGAATCTCTGAAGCCTACACATCCTGGGATGTGTCCCTGCATATTGCTGGGGCAAATGATATATGAAGAAAACATAAGGATCTCTTACCTGCATTTTGTTTAAATAGCTTTGTTTATAAATTGTCACCAAAGAGAATATTAATCTCTGTGGAGAAAAAAGTAAGATTTAAAAGATTTTAGGGGGGAAAGGGTATGTGCTAAATGGTGACGTGACCTACTATGATGATAGTAGCTAAAAATCTATCATCAACTTGAGGGAAATTGTCTACACTCATTAAAAGAGCAAAAAGTTCTAAAGAAACTTGGAACAGGGCTGGCCCTTCTTAGAAATCATAATCATCACAGCTTTCACTTCCTGGGATTCTTCTTAATGCCATTTCCTAGGAGCTAAAATAATAATAAGGACATGGAAAATGGGGCAGAGGCGGGGGGGGGGATAGAAAACTAGAAAACGTCTCTGTGTTTCATTACATTTGGGGGCAGGGTGGGAAAAGCTTCAGAGCGCTGGAAAAAAAGAGGGGGAAATCACAATTGAAAAGGAGTTCCTGTATCTGCTGCTTCTGCCTTCTCAGCCATTTCAAGTCCGCTGTTTGGAACAGAAGGAGAATCAAGGTAGGCTCTGCAGCCATTGGCCCAGGACAGCCTCGGAGACCAGGCTGGTCACACTTCCATCAGTGCTGACTGAGCAAGTCGGGAAAGGATGAGTCTCTCCTGCCTCCAGTTCTCAACCCTGTGCCTTTCCACCCCTTCCTGCAGAAGCCACCAGCTGCCCCCACCACGCCTGCTTCCTGCTCTTTGACGCAGCCTCTGGGACACCTGCCTTCGGAGGGACACGGCCCTTTAGGTGGCATTACTCCTGTAGCTCAGTCACTTACTGGGCCCCACTGTCCAAGAGAATTTTTATCCACAAGAAACGGCACTGCTGGGTGCTGAGTGAGTCTGCACTGCTGAAAAAGGAGATTCCGATGCCCAGGACTAATATTTGTGATATTTACCTAGGCTGGTCCCAGAGTTAGCGGAGTTTTTAAATGTTTCCCTGTGGTGTTTACGGGTGGCTGACCTTTCAGAATCCTATCACATGGTGAGGACCAAACATTTTCTGACCAAACAATTTTTTTTTTCAAAACAGGTTTATTAGGAACACAGTTGGCTGCTGATCATTCCCTCATGACACTGGTCCGTGAAGGAATCATGGAGGGAAAGTATGGGCAGATAAGAGATGAAAAGGCAAATGACAAGTCTAATTCTTTTTCTTCCTCACAAGTGAAAAGCCTGCCTTTATATTGATTTTCAGATACTGAATATACATAGTTCATCTGCCAGATAATCTCAAAGTGTCTTACTCTAATAAACAAATAAAATTTATGAGAATGGGAAAAAGAGATGAATCTCTCTCTGTTAACAACCTTTACACACACACACACACACCCCTGATAATTAATTGCAATAGAACAGATATTCTATTGGCCTTCTCCTCTTCACAGGGATATAAACCCACCTGTACATTTTTTCACCATGGCAAACATGCTTGCCAATTGACCTGATAGGAAAGAGACGGTGCAATTGTTCATAAATTATAATTTGCATATTTGGCTTGACCTTGAGTTATTTGAATATTAAAAAGGGTCATCTTTCTTTAAAATGCTAATACCTTTCAAACTAGGACTGGATGGGACAGTTATCCCTGTGAGTTTGAGTTCTTTTTTTTTCTTTTTTTTTTATATATATATTTTATTGATTTTTTACAGAGAGGAAGGAAAAGGGATAGAGAGCCAGAAACATTGATGAGAGAGGAACATCGATCAGCTGCCTCCTGCACACCTCCTGTTGGAGATGTGCCCGCAACCAAGGTACATGCCCTCGACTGGAATCGAACCTGGGACCTTTCAGTCCGCAGGCTGACGCTCTATCCACTGAGCCAAACCGGTTTCGGCGAGTTTGAGTTCTTACTATAATTCCATGACAGGGACCCCAAAATACAGGGTGGGCCAAGAGGAGGCTTACAGTTGTTCATATGGGAAATAACACAATAATTAATAAATAGTAATACAAGAGTGCACTGTGTTTCACGCACTCACAGCTGCAGACTCCTTTTGCCCCGTCCTGTGTAGTGTGTCCTGACACCCTGCCCGCCCAGAGGCATCCATGCTCAAGCCTGACACAGGTGATGTGGAGACAAAACATCACTCTGTGCCTGTTGTTAGTGTGCAATATGCATTTTGGTTCCTCAAATTTGGGGGTCACTAACTGGGAACTGCCAGGAAGACACACAGAGGGGTCCAAACCAGAAACCAACCCCGGCCAGGCTCCCACAGGCCTCATCTGTGGCACGAGGTGTCTTACCCTTTTCTTAGAACAAACAGCCCTCCCCTCAGCACTCCCATCACCCGTTTCCCCGATCCTGACCCACCTTCAGTGTAGAATGAGTTCTCCCAGCCTTTTCCTAGTCTCTTAATTCTGGTGAGCAAGAGATCTTTTCCTATAAAATGTTTTTGTCTTCAATTAACCAAGGTAAACAATGTTTAAGAATCTTTACATTAGACACTCATCTTACTCAACTGTAACATGTAATAATAATAATAATAATAATAATAATAATAATAATAGATTTTAAACATCATTTCATTAAGAAGTTCTCCTTTGTGGAGTCAAGGAAATTATTCTCAGAAATTTATGCACAAAAGCTAGTCATTTATTTCATTCAACAAATATGTATTAAGTACCCAGGGAGGTAGCTAGAATCACAGGAATTTTATCAGTTTAGCCTAAACTCACTTGAGATAGAATGTCTCTTAGCATACTATCATAATTTATACACCCCAAGGCTGGGCTTACCGTATGTTGAGCAAATGGCTAGATGGTATAGGAAATTAATGAACTTTGGCTTATCCAGAGAAACTTTTCAACTAAGATGGTGGGGACATAGGCAATGCTTTTATTTAAGGGTTCTTCCATACTCTAACAACTTCGTTTCCCAGTGCAAAAGGTAACCTGACCCTCACATGTATGAAAATGGCACAGTATATACTAAATGAGATGAAGGAGCAAAGGGAGAAACTCCGTTCTTTATTCTCCACCATGCTCCACTTTTAAAAAATCATTAATGGTAGCTACAAATATGAAGTCCCTGTTTAGATACTGGTTCTGGGCCTTTCTAAAAGAGGCCCATTTCACCTAATTCTAAATGGCATATCTGGCATTCAGCAGAAGGAATAAATTTAAATCAGATGTGTTTGACTGGGGTGATTAGACATTTGTACCCCTAATGTGTGTTTTGTGTGGTGTGAGTGTGCACACACAGGTGCACTGTACGGCACAAATGTTTTTTCAATGTTAGCATTCATTCAAAGTGAACATGTAAATATATACTTTTTGCTAATATAGTCATATTTGCTCTTTAATTCATTCTCTTTGTAGGAGAAAGGTCAGTTTGAACTATTTAAAAATTAGAATTAAGAATTTTTATTTAGATATGGTGTTTGTTTTCCAGCACATCACTAACTAGAACTAAATCAATAAAATATGTGTTGCCAAGCATAAGCCTTTAAAATATCTATTTGAATGCATTTTGTTGAATATATTCACATAACTACAACAGCTTCATGAGATCTGCTCATGTAAGGAAAAATTCTTTAGATTCAGCTGAAAGAAAATTGTCAAAATATTTTGAAAGAGGGGTGCACTTGATAAAAATATGAAGCTATTTCTAATTTGAAATAATGATCATATTAAACAATAGATAAGAAATTTAGCCTTAAACACTTTAATTTGTTTACAAAACAGAGAAAGGGTATTCATTAGTTTTATTCCAAGTAGGTTGTTTGTTTATATAAGTCTAACCTCTGTCTATTTGTAGATTGGCAAGTTTCTGTATATGTGGAGAATATGTTTTAATTAGCATATTAATTGCTTTTCCAAAATGCTATAAACCATTTATTTTCTTATTCAATCCCACCGTAAACATTCCACCTCTGGGGGGAAAAAAAGGGAAAAGGGAGAAAAATCATTTTTCATGGAGAATTATAATGGAAATTTGTCCCTGCCTAAATTATCAAAAGTTCTGAATTAGTACGTCTAAATTAATTTTCACATATATTAGGGAAGTAATATAAATCTTTTTTAAAAGCCTACAGATGTTTTAGCCACTTACCTATTACTTAATACATCTTCAATCAAACACATTTTCTTGAAAGGAAAGGGCCTTAAACAGAAAGTTTTGAAAAACAGGGAATTCTTAGAGGGGGTCAATGGGAAAAAAACAAAGGGGATCTAAAATACTTTCAACAATATAAAGGTGAATTTTTAAAAAACGAAAGACAGGAAATTCTTACTTTGGAGCTAATTCAATGAGAAAAAGGAGATAAAAGAACGAGTGCGGCCCTGACCGGTTTGGCTCAGTGGATAGAGCGACGGCCTGCGGACTCAAGGGTCCCAGGTTTGATTCTGGTCAAGGGCATGTACCTTGGTTGCGGACACATCCCCAGTAGGGGGTGTGCAGGAGGAAGCTGATCGATGTTTCTCTCTCATTGATGTTTCTAACTTTCTATCCCTCTCCCTTCCTCTCTGTAATAAAATATATATATTTTTTAAAAAAGAATGAGTGTGGTTTAGTTTAAAAAACAACTTTTGTATCTGGAATCTAAGCTTTAGTTCCTATGATATATGATAATTTATTATATTTTATTTGCAAGAAGACATAAATTGTGACTGTTATAGACTATGGTGACAAACATACCTAGAAGGTCAATGTGACTTAATATCTCTGTTGTCTTGGCTCACTCCCTGGAGATAGATATATAGATATAGATATAGATTAGATATAGATATAGATATAGATATAGATATAGATATAGATATAGATATAGATATAGATATAGATATAGATATAGATATAGATATAGATATAGATATAGATATAGATATCCAGCCATCTAGTCAACCAGTGTTTTCTTCATGATGCCTGCAGCTCTGTTTCCTTCCACCTGCTTTACTCACATCCAAAGCCAGAACTTACAACCTCACACCTGTATTTCCAAAGTTACCACCAATGGAGCTTCCTGTCTTCATTTTCTCATACACTTTGGCACCACATAAAAGTTCTAAATTCTATCTTGGCACTTGTTTAACGGTTTTCCAAGAGACCTCTTTGTCTAACAAATAAAATCCGTACCTTTTTCACCAGTGAGTCAAGTTCTCCTGGATCTGGCTCTAACCTGCCTTTTGAGCTCTACATTCTACTCCACTCCATCCTCAGTGTCCAGTTATACAGACACCCAATGAAACAGCTGCCCTGGCACCATCCCATAGGGGGCACTGAAACACCACTAATAAATTATAAACACAGTGCCAGTTAACTCAGGTTTCCACCCTCAGACTCCTCACTCACTAGTGAAATGTAAGCCAGACCCCCTCCCATCCATGCAAACTATGCCCTGGGCAGAGACCATGTGATTGTATCCATGTAAATTACCTCTATCCATGGTGAGTATGACTGCATCCAATTATGTGCGATTAACCAAAAAACTCATATGCATATATACATAGCCCATGGACACATACAATAGTGAAGTGAAGGCATGGGGTGTGGTGGGAGCCGGGTGGAGGGGAGAAAACGGGGGAAATGGGAGGCATCTGTAATACTCTCAACAATAAAAATAAATAAAAATTAAATAAAATGAAAGACAACGACAAATATACTAAGATGTTATGTTACATTCATGGATAATAAAGACCATTATAAACTTATGAACAAAAATAGATACAGAGGCAGAGCTGCCTCAAACAGATTGTCAAACTGCAGCGGGAAGGCCGGGGAGGGTAGGGGGGCAGAAGAGGGGGGTAAGAGATCAACCGAAGGACTTATATGCATGCATATAAGCATAACCAATGGACATAAGACACTGGGGGGTAGGGGAGGCCAGGGGATTGTCAAGGGCGGGGGGAAAAAAGAGACATATGTAATACCCTTTGTAATACTTTAAGCAATAATAAAAAAAAAGATGTTATGTTACATTTAAAGCATGCAATAGACACCTGATTTTGGACATAGAAAAACATGAAGAAAGGTATACTGATTTTACTAACAAACAATCATTCTTCCCTTACTCTCCCACTAGAAACATGCAACAAATATTCAGAGCCAAATGCTTAGTTTGCCAGGGGCACCCACATATTCAATCCATCTTCACCCTTGCCCCCTGGTCTACCTACAGTCTCATGAACACACCTCTTCCTTGTGCATGTCATTCCTTCCTCTGGAATACCTTCCTTACTTTTCTTCTCAGCCACCCACAATTCCAACTGTCCTTTAAGACTACTTTTTTTTTTCCTGTGACATCTTCCTTAATCTTCACTAGTGATAAGTAATCTCTCTGAAATCCTGTATTATCTCTGACACAATACCTTACCGTATTTTGTGCCATTTTTCTTTCTTCCAGAAAAAATTTATACCTATCTCATGCCAAGCTCTGTTCTTAGAGCCTTATATGCATTTTCCACTTATTTTTCAAAATAACCTTAGATATTATCTTCATTTCCATTTTACAGATGAATAACCTCGGGTTTATTGAAATCAGATAACTTGCTCACAGCTATACATCTCGGAAGAGCATGGTTTAAACCCAGATGTACCTAACTCCAGAGCCTGAGCTCTCGCCACAGCGTCACGGGGTTTCAGTCCTACTTCCCCACCTCCAGGTCAAGTCATTTGAGGGCAAGCAGCCTATTTGTGGTACCTATGTGCCTCTCCTCAGTCTCCAAAAGAGATCCTTTCTTCACCATCACAGACATTAAATGTATGTTAACAATGATGCTGGGCCACTTGCCTCCTTGGATAGGGATGTTGTACAGACCCCACTATACCTTCAACGGTTCTAAAAACACTTCAGGATGTGATGAGGCTTCTCCTTCATTTGTATGGGCAGAGCCGATCCCTGCAGGAGCAGCACTGCAGAAGCTACACAATTTGGAACCACCTTCCCATGATCTTCTGCTAAATTAGTGTTATAAATTTTAGTTATAGCTTTTAAATATTTCCTGGTCAACCTCTTTCTCAATTCTCCTAAAGGCTCACCATTGAACACTGTTCCAACTTCCCAACACCGTGGAACAGTAAAGTAATGCCATATGCTCATTTGTCAAGCAGCTTGACATACATATCCAACCAAACAACCAGAGAGTGGAGTAATTGAAATGACAAGGCCCTATAAAGGATTAAAATATATGCATGTTCAAAAGTCTAATGCAGACATAATTTGAAATGAGATGACTCATCAAAGCAGGAGGGGAATACAAAGACTTATCTACCTATCTATCATTATGAAAACTAAGAACAGCTTAAATATCCAACAATAGGAACCGCTTAAGTGAATAATGATGTTTACAAACAATGGAATACTACACAGCCATCAGAAATTATCCAATCATTCAATAAATATTTACTGAGTGCCTTATTTGTATGAAACAAATAAAGAAATGATACCTGCCCTCATCGTGCTTAGAGAGTAGACAGGGGTGGGGAACCTTTTTTCTCCCAAGAGCCATTTGGGTATTTATAACATCATTCACGAGCCATACAAAATTATCAACTTAAAAGTTAGCCTGCTATATTTGGAAAAAACATTTAAGTAACTCAGCCCTGTGCCTTAGCAGGGCCAGACCAAATGATTTCAAGGGCCTTATATGGCCCATAGGCCGGACATTCCCCACCGCTGATATAGAATATGTAATGACAAGAAATTCTGTATTGTTGAGTGGCACGGTGGGCTACAATAGGGTACAATGTGTATGAATTAACTTTTAATTGCTGCTGTTTTTAAAATAACTTGAAGATGTATTTATTCTATGTTCATATCCTGCCCTAAAGAAATACACATATTAGTGAGTAGTTCTGGCATATTTAATTTTATAGAAAAAAATAAAGCTGCACATTCTAAAATAAAATTCTGAGTAAAAAGTAAGCAAGTAAAAATCAAATGAAGATTAATTTGGAATTCCAACTAAAACTAATTTTCAGACAGCTTTTTGAAATATTTTTATATATTCATTATAAACATATTATTTTAAAGTATGAATTCAAAGACTTCCATTGAGCAATTATAATGCAAGTTTATTGTCCATTGGTGAATTTAAAACAAAACAGAAAAATAAAGGATTAAAAGTCAACTACAAAAAGCAAGAAGAAATGAAATTTAAAATCTCGTATGAAATGGCAATAAAAAGGACATCTACCATTCTGGGTTGCCCTGTTTTGCATAAGTCTTGAAGATATATTTAACTCGCAAGAAGATAAGTTCTATAATAATTTCTTAAGCTAAACAAAAATAACCAGTAAGATTTATAATATTCAAACCTATTTACTCTTTCAAATTCTTAATTCTTAGCAATAGAGAAAAACTTCTTAAGTTGATAAAGAGCATCTTTAAAAAAAACCCTATGTATTTAATGTTGAAAGACTAAAATGCTCCCCTCCATCACCCCCCCACCCCCACCCAGATCACGAATAAGGCAAGGATGTATGCTCTCATCAATGTTATTCAACAAAGTATTAGAAGTACTAGCCAAGGAAGTAAAGCAGGAAAAAGAAATTAAAGATGAGAATGGATCTATTCCTATTTGCAGATGACATGATTATCTATATAGAATATACCAAGAAATCTACAGCAACAACAACAAAAAAATCCTCCTAGAACTAGTGAGTTCCAGCAAAGTAGCAAGATACAAGATTAACACACAAAAATATAATTATACTAGAGGCCCGATGCACAAAAATTCATGCAAGAGTAGGCCTTCCTTCCCACGGCTGCCGGCACCGGCTTCCCTCCGGCACCCGGGACCCGGGCTTCCCTCTGGCTGCCGGCAGGCACCGGGGACCTGGGCGGCTTTGCTCCGGCCCCATCTTCTTCTGGAAGGACGTCAAGTCTAATTAGCATATTACCCTTTTATTATTATAGATTTCTATATATGAGCAATAAATGTGGGCACCAAAATTAAAAACATAATCCCATTTATAGTCACTAAGAAAATGAAATAGGTGTAAATCTAACAAAACAAATTCAACACTTATTGCTGAAAATTACAAACCATAATGAATGAAATCAATGAAGTTTTAAATAAATGGACAGGCATAAATGGACAGGCATACTGAATTCATGGATGGGAACACTCAACACAACAAACATATTAATTTCCTCAAACTGATATACAAGTTTAATGCAATTATTATCAAAATCTAAGCAAAATGTTTTGTATATAAAGACAAGAATATTCTACAATTAAATGAGAATGCAAAGAAACTAGAATAACTGAAACAAATTTGAAAAAGAAGAATAGAGTGGAAGGAATCAATCTACCTGCCTTTAAGAGTTATTATATAGCTACAGTGATCAAGACTGTAGTACTAGTAATGAGATAGACATTAGCTCATTGGAACAGAAT